TATGGAAACAATGCCATGCTCAAGGTTCAGGTTGTGGCAAAGTCTTTTCCTTATTAGGGACTGGTAATGAAGATAATATCCATTTAATATGGAATTGTTTAGTAAAAAGACATGTTGAATAAATGAGTAAGTAATTCTGACAGTAATGGTGACAGAAGATCTCGGAAAATAGTCATCAGAGTACAAACTATATTAAGACTTTAGAAAAGTTGGTAATATGAATGAAGACCCTTCAAATTACTCACAACCTTTGACTCAAGAATGCCGCTTCTTAGACGAGTTTATATAAACACTAGAACTTGTGGAGTTCACACTTAAGCACAGTGATGCTCACCATTGTGTTGGTTATAACATTGAACATTTGGAAACAACACAAAATATATAAAAATGTTACAAAATATAAAAGTGTATTTTTTAATATTTTATAAGAATATAAAAAAGAAATCTATCATTAGATTATTTATATGTAGTATCAAAGTGGCATTTACGAATGTTGCATTAGTGTGAGAAAAGTCTTGATTATAATGGGAAGTGATCTCTACTCCCTTAGGGAAAGTGTTTTGCGGGAATCCCATTAGGGCTTCAGCAACAAATGAACAGAACTGCTCATTTTTCCTATCTTGATCCAGGCAAGCGCACCTACATTGTTCTGAATCATAGCATGTATATTCTGGCCCTCATGCCTTTACTCTTGCCAGTCTCCTTGCTTTTGATACTCTTCCTTTTACCTACATCTATTTCAAATACAGCTGTCCTTTAAATCCTATCTCATTCCACTTCCTTCTATAATGCTTTCATGATTATTTTAGAACACACACAAAAAAATTTTCATCTCTTGGACCCCTAGGACTGCATTTTAATGAGGACATCACAATACCCTACTGTGTCTCATGCATATGATGGATAACATTAAGTTCGTATATGGAACTTTGCACATATCCTACTTGTTTGAGAGAAGGAATAAGACATAGGGCTTAAGTATGTGGCATATAATGCCAGATTCCTTTACTTCATGTCCCTTCTCCGAGACATGTGACCTTGAGAAAGTTATGTATCCTTTCTGGTTCTCAATGTTCTCCTGTTTAAAATGGAGGCAATAATAATATCCAGCTCAATTTATTCTTATATTGCAATGGTATCTACCTATCTGCTAAGCTTCTACAATGAAAAAAAAATGTTCTTTTGAATCTTAATTTGTACTCCTAATAAGGTGGACATGAAATCCCTAATCAGGATGTATCCTGAAGAGTTAGAAGTTTGGCTTCAAGTATACAAACTTCTGAACTCATAAATCATATAAAACTAATGACCAACTGATAAATGTTGGCTGGCAGCTAGAATTGCATCTGGATCAGAAACGTTGTTTACTTTTAGTTATTCCTCTAGAAAAAAAAAAGAATAAAACCTAAAGGAGAAAGTTCCTCACCCTAACAACTTTCAAATATCACAGAATAGTGTCCAATGGCACATGGTGGGATACATGATGAACTTGAATACCTTCTCTATGGAGAGGCTGCTACAAATGAAAAGGAATTGGACACACTTGTCATCTCCTTCTTAAACAGGTGGCTTTGAACAAGGTGTAGTTAATAGGTGACATAACTTGCATACCCAAGTTATTTATGTGTTGTCAGGCAAGGGGAAAAGAAAACCAAGATACACTGAAGATCCCTGTGCTTTCGGCAGCAACCTGAAATGTCTGAAGACTGGAAATTCCCATGTTGCCATTCTTTAGAAGTTCATTGTCACGCTTTACCTTCCTCAACCAGATCTCTCTTTCATCCACAAGAAGTAGAGATGTTAATCCCATCTATCCCAGGTCTACTCTATTGGCCCACCTTTGCTGGAAAGCACAAATAATGAGAACAACATACCCTGAAGAGCTCAAAAAATCCGAAATAATACTCAAAAATTAGCACTTTAATATTATTATAAATATTTTATCAATCTAAAAAATTGAGGTAATTGTTCTGCTTGATGATGAGTTATTCAACACAACATGCCTCAACACACCAAGGATGACCCTGCCATTTTGACATGAGCAAGATTGTGGGCTGGTTTGTTTGTTTTGACCCGAGGGCTTTCTGCATGCCACCGTCTGCATTTGGGCAGCTCCCACTCTTGAATTCTCTGAGGCACATATTTATTGAAGGCAAGAACTGGTTCACTCAGTTTAAGAAGTACTCAAAACAGGGGGGTCACCCAAATAGCAGAGGGAGAGATTAGTCAGAGGAAGAAGGACAGATCCTTGAATTACATCTCGCCATCCCAGGTGTGCTTGCCAAACGTCACAGATACCCAAGCAGCTCTGATTTGTTCTGGCTACATGCCCAGAATGGAAGACAGAGTTTCACAGAGTTTCAGTTTACATTGTAGGAACTGTACAATTTCACAAAAAGGGGAATGGGAAGGTGTTAAAAAAATTAAGGAATGATATTTTTACTACTTTATATGTCAAGTCTCCTGCTCACAAGACTTGACAGCATTCCTTTAAAAATCAGCACCTCACCTCCATCAATTTTCAACTTCACACTTTAAAAAAAAACTAGAAATCTTCTATTTTCAGCCTAATGGATAGAGCAAATTAAAGGAGAACAGCATCTTTGAAGATGAACTCCTCAAAAAAAAAATTGCTATGTTACTTTTGGAGAAAATGAACAGATAAACCTTGAATGCTGTAATGTGCTTTGACTAGGATTTAGTTTGCTTTGGGTTAAATCTTCTCCAGGGCTCTTTTGTTTTACTATTAGACTGATGAACATGTCAATTTCCTTTGAGCTTCTTCCAAGAGCACACTGACATACAAACTCAACAGTACTGTGCATGTCCTGCAATGTTTCTGAACAAGTACATGTTGCTCTTGACTATGTGAGGATAATATTTCTGGAAACAGACTTCTAAAGTTTATAGATTGATATTAATTGGAGTCTTAGATAAAAATATGATTTTTCTCCCTAGATAGGTCTGCAAGAATTCATGAGTTTTCCCTCATAGGATCTTAAAGGGAAAAAAAAAGATCTCTAAAGAGATAAAATTATGTACTTATTCAAGTATAATATAATTATGTACTTAGTCAAGTATAAGGGCTGGGTAAAATTTAACTTCAATCTCTCTCTCATTCCCTTGTTCTCTTCATCATTCCAAGTTTTTAAATAGCAAGATTTAAATGAAATATATTATAATATAGCCAGATGACATTTCTCAATTTCCCAGGCAACTAATAGCAATAACATCATCATTCCATGATGACCACTGCACTAATTCTTTTCTGATTCAGTTAGATTCTTCTATGGGAGTCATTGGTATATGCCACATTCTGAGGCATAACAGAGGTCATGGGATGGCTGAGAAGTACACAAAAATCAGAGCATCAACTTTGCTCCTTCTTGACTAGAGTGAATATAGTCCAGTGGACATCTACCAACCCCTTCCGTAATCCTTCAGGGCCAGGCAACAACATCAGGAACTCAGGAAAAACTGGTGAGATCTGCCCCAGAATGATATCTCCCTATGGTCCTCATTATACATCTAAGCCTTCGTTGGCTTCAGTGTCTTTCTATAATATCTTCTCCCACCTGTCCTTCCAATTTCCAATTTCATATATTCCATGAAATCTCCCACAATCACTGCCAGCACCTTCAGATATGTCTTTCTCACTTAATACTGAAGTCCATCAGTCAGCATGGAATAAAATTTTCTAGATGGCAACCATTTGTTTGGTTGTCTTTTGTTTGGTGATCCCAATGAGAATGTTAAATTGTGGGACTCAGGGCTCCAATTCTTCCTTTCTTTTTTCTTTGCTTCTTAGGTTCGCACACTTCAGCCTACCTTCTCCCTGCCTCCTGTCCTGCCATCTTCTCCACCACCATCGTCCCGTCCTGTGTTACTACCTGCAGACTCAGACTTCCTTATGTTTCCTGCCTCCATCTCTTCCTTTGCTCTGAGTATCCCTTTTATTGGTTGCTATTGTCCAGACAGGTCTCTACAAAAGATCAACCCAGGCCTTTTATATGAAGCCTCCTCCAAGCCAGGATTGACAGGTACTTATCACCAGTGCTCAAGTTTTGTTGTCTCACAAGCCATGGTGGGAAGGCACTTCATGCCCTCTTGTGTGTGCCCTTGTGACCCTATCTGGACAATGGAATGTAAGAGAAAGTAATATTTGCCACATAGAGGTCAAGGCATTTAAAAACTAGCCCCTGCTTTCCTGTCTCCGCCCCTGTGTGTCCTTCTCTCTGCCCTGGCAACATTCCAGATGATGAAACCTCCATGATAAGAGGAAAATGTGGAAGAAGACCTCCTACTGATGTGTGATGGGTATGTGTCATGGTCACGACATGGCCACTCATTACTTAAACCACCAAGATTCTAATTTTCTACTATGGCAATATAGCACAACCTGGAAGACAGTGTAATTAACTTTAGAGCTACCTCTTGTGTGCCCATAGCATGTTTTCTTGTCCCAACCTCAACATGTATGTGACTCCATTGCCACTCTCCCATTTCCTGTCTTACTAGCAGTCTATGAACACCACAGGTTATGACTTTCATCCACGGGTGCTCCCATCCACCACAGTTTTGGCCTTTGGTGTCCTCTAAAAAGCTTACACTTAATGAATGCATACAATGTGTCCCCCAATAATAAATGCACCTAGTTAACCCATTAAGTGACAAGTTTTCACATCTGTGAATATTTCATGAAATTGACCCAGTTGCATTAAAATAGGTTGGAATTCATAACCGAGAGCTTACATATATATCCTTTATAATATGTGCATCTGTGCGTATTTCAGATGCTGTAATTATTCATCTGTTACTTTTCTCGGGAGATCAGCCCTCTAAAAACACTGATTATTTCAAAGTTACCTTGAGTAGTATATTTTTTTCTCAATTTAAGATTTTATAGGGGTTCTACCTCTGAACTAAGGAACACAATGGGTTAACACTGGCAATTCTGTAGCTTTGTCCAACCACTGGGCATAACCCATGCATCTACTCACAGTCATGGCAGGTGGCACCAGTGTAACCTGTGTCACTGCAGTTACAATAGAAACTGGCCCAGGACTGGGAGCAGCTTCCTCCATGTTCACAATAGTTTGGCAAACACCTAATGTGAGATAGCACAAAAAAAAAAGACAACAAAATTTTAAAAGTCAGTTAAAATAAAGAAGGAATAAATAATGTCTTATATCCAACAAAATGAATTAATTCTGGGAATTTATCCACTATAATCATATGCCTAAGTCAGATTTCAAATGATGAACATTATATAATGGCTTAACCAAAACAGGTGTATCCACCAGAGGCAGCCAGGTAATGGAAGTCTCAGAGCCAAATTAGGCACTTGAGTTAATATTCCAGCACTGGGGTGAATGCGTACTGAATTTAAAGTTAAACTCACGTGGTATTTTATTTATCACAGAGAAAATGTATACAGATCGTAATTTCATATGTTTTAAAATTTTTTGCATTTTTAAAGAAAAAGGGACAGATAATTGAGGTTACTCTCCATATGCTTCTCTCTTGGGAGAAGGCCAGGAAACTATTTTAAAATACATAAGCACAACATGAAATTTGAAAAGATGATGCCTGCTCACTTAAACATGCAAGAAAATTGTATCATTTTTAAATGTGCCAGCGCTGTCCTTAAAATAAGGCCTTTACTAGTTATGGTCAAAACAATATGGCTATTCTGAGAAATATTTGCATCACACAATGAAAAGTTCTTTAAAACATTATGTAATTTGAAGCAGAAATCATACTTTGAAGGCTTTGTTTAAGAATATGTTTCAAAATATGAAGACAATATATGCTAACTGCTGCTTGCTATTCACAATGATGTTCACAATGGTGAATCAAGGTAATTATCTAATATTAGAATATTACATAGGAGAGCTGTTGCTCACAAGGTTAATGGGGCTACTTTATTATAAAATGACTACAAATAATGTAAACAACCACAACAAAAAGATCATCACAGATTGGGACTCCATTAGGTGAAAATCCCACATATGAAGCATGCCACAGAAACTAAAATAAAGAATCTGAGTTTCAAAAATTTGGGTCTTAAAAATGTTAGAGTTACTTGGGCTAGTGATAGTAAAGGTGATGCTTATTTCTCTAGGTGGAAATCATGGTCTTTAGGGACACATATGCCTGCGTTTAAATTCCACCTTATCTATTCACTATATGGTAGTTTGCATCTTGCACACATACTTTAAAATCTCTAGTGTTGCTGCTGAGATGTATGCAGGAAGTGTAGTGAATAAAATTACGTGTAAAAGTAAGGATAAATACTGTAATTTCTGAAAACAATCTTTGCAATGAGTCTAACAGAGCTATGGAAAACAAAATCTCACAAATTTAAAAAGAGAGAGGGTTCAATTACTGAAGTTACAAAGGTGTATAAAACAACAAATGGGTTCATTGAAAACTACTAAGAATTGGAAGCTAGCAAAACACAGGATGATTTGCTCTAAGTGTCCTCGATAGGTAGAAAACCCTCAAACAATGATTGTTTCAAAGTGCAGAAAGTAAAATCCCTGTGTAGATTCAGATGTATTATTAGAAATTTCTGCTCAGCACAGCAAACATAAAATTGTGCTGACAGGTATTATGTTTGGAGAAAGCTTGCTGATAACTTCATGGCACCCAAGTCCGGCATAAAGAACAGGGAAAAAACAAAGAGAAAAAGAAAAAAGAAAAAAACTTAAGAATCTTGCTGTGGAATGTCTTCATCAAAACTAAACCAAAATGTAACTGTAAAAAAAAAAAAAAAAGCAAATAGAAAAAAATAGAGAAAAGTCCTTTCCCTGCTACCCAATTCTGCCTTTCCTCTTGACTCTTATTCACTCTCCTAGACTTGATGAACAGGAACTAAAACAGACTTGTCACTGTTGTGATCAAAGTCCTTGTGAAGGAAGTCCTTGTTCCCTACCAACTCTGTGGGGGAAGCTACATAAATTTGGAGCATCAGTTTCCCTTATTAACAAAATGCAACTAAGGAGCCGGTCCTGTAAGCTAGCTTGCTAGCTTTGTTTTGAATGTCCACCTGCCCCACACGCTGCTTTCACCCTAGCATCTCCCCGGTTCAGCTTCACCTAACTTTTTACTGTATCTTCTCCTGAGCCTTCCAAGTTCATCCACAACCTCTCTATACCACTTTCCACTTCCTCCCGTCTCCCCCAAAACAAGTTTTCCAAGATTAGCAAATGATGATAGTATTGTTCCCCTACTTCAACAAAAAGTTTATTGCTTTAAGGCTGGAGAGCTGAGCAAAAAGCAACATAGATGTTTATTCTTTAGTTCTTTTACTTTTGGATCCAAATAAATTCAGCGTACCCTCTTTTCAGTAGTTGGCACAATAAAATAAAAAAATCAGAAAGTTTTAGTAGCTGTATTTTCAGACATGAGGAGAACGTTTGTCTGCAGTGAATGGTACAGGAAAACAATTTTTTTTTTTCCAATATGCAGCCTTCAGCAGGAAGGAAAGAGAGAGTCCTGAAGATATTTGTGTGTTTGGTTCCTGCTGTTCTCAAGGTCTGGTTGCCCTCCTGAACCTCTTGGGAACTGGCTGTTTTAATCTGTGTTGGGTTCTGTGAGATAAACCAAGACCTTTCCAGCAAAATCCTCATTTCACTCAGGAGAGCTCCAGTTGGGAGTCTATTACTTTCAATTCACAGAATCTTAACCTTAATTTTTTTTTTAGTTGTAAATGAACACAATATATTTTTATGAATTTTTTTTTAATGTGGTGCTGAGGATCGAACCCAAGGCCCAACACCTGTGAGCAAACGCTCTACAAGTGAGCTCCAGCCCCAGGCCAGAATCTTAACTTTTTGTTAGATAGCACTCCAGAATTACAAAAGGAAATGTAAACATGTTTTTCTTATGGTATACATGATAAAAATACCTTGCAATCTTGAGATTACCAAATCCAATTGGGCCTTTTCTAGAAGGAATAGCTTTGGGGAAGCTACCAGAAATATAAATATCCTACATTTTGAATACATTTTCTTACCAGTACTGGAGACTGAACCTAGGGGCACTCTACCACTGAGTTATATCCCCAGTCCTTTTCATTTTATTTCTTTTTAATTTTGAGTCAGGTACTAACTAAGTTTCCCAGGCTGGCCTTGAATTTGCTATCCTCCTGTCTCAATCTCCTGAGTCACTGGGATTACAGGGGCACATCACCTCTACTGGCTTCTTGAGCATATCTTTATAAGTCCTACACAGAACTTGCATTGCAGTATTAATAGACTCAATTTGCCACTGAAAATCTAGGATATAGATTCATCTGTCTATGGTCAATGAACAAACCAATGATGTATTTCTGGAAGAGAAAAAGGATACTTGAATAAGCGAACATCTAATATTCCAAGAATGAGGGGAAAAGAAAATGAATGAGCACTTGTAAGGCTGCCTTAGAGCTTGATTCATTTTGGTTCAACACATATCATGATTAGGGAAACTCATCTGTAAAGTAGACATTCAAAATAAAAGATGTCTAAGCCCAATTTGCTTTTTTAAAAAGAAAGGGCAGGGTTTTATTTATTTATTCATTTATTTATTCTAATTAGGTATATATGACATCAGAATGCATTTTTGATTCATTGTACACTAATGCAGTGCAACTTTTCATTTCTCTGGTTGTACATGATGTAGCATCACACCATATGTGCAGTCATACATATACTTAGGGTAATGATGTTCATCGAATTCTACCTAAAGAAAGGACAGTTTTATGAGTATAATTTCCCATATTCTTTAATCACTTAAAAAAATGGACTCACAAAGGTAACTGCTCAGAGACCCTTAAAGGAAAGACCACTGACTATGAAGTGAGTCACAATCTTAGGCATGAATCTTCTATTCAAATTGCCAGGAGATAATTGCTCTGAACACAGATCCTCTAAAACTCCTATTGCTGTTGCAGATGTAACCCCACCTGGACAGATGTGGCTTTCCTTAGAGCACAATGTTTCAGTATGAGTGCAACAAGTCTTCCTGTACTCCCCAAGAGCCCCAATAAACTAACACTGTGATGTGTCCCAGCAAAGACTTGGAACACACAGCAGACACATTGGCAGTCATTTGGCAGAGTGTGTGGGGATTTATAGGAGATGAAAGGAAGGGCTAAAGAATGGCAGAGAAGACTTAGAAGTGGAAAGAGAAAAAAATGATGATGTCATAAGGACAAAGGTTATTAACATTTCTTTAGAATTTCCCTCCAAAAATCAAACTTCTTTCAAAGGAGAAAGATTAGGTGGAGCTGTGGATGATCTGGGTAATAGAGGAAGTAGGAAAGTTCACCCAGAGTGGTCCAAAGAACTCATTCATCAGTGGTCATGGTCCAGAAGTTATGGTTTCAACTTCCCGGGTGCTGTTTAGGGTGTGTTCAGTTGCTCACAAGAAACACAAAGGAACAAAACAGTTCTCTTTGAAGATTGATGCACAGCAAGGGAGACAGCCAAAAAGCTGCTTCACAGAAGGCAAAGGATTTTTATAGACTGAGCCACTTGGTAGACTAGAGGCAGACAATTCTGAGAATTAAAACCAAAATCCAGTTTCAAGCATCCTAAGCAAGCACACTTGAAGGGAATGCACACTCTCAGTTGGCATTAGGAAGAACAAAAGGACCTCCACAGTCTTCCTTGATGAAGATCCACGTGGTAACTTCTTTCTGATTTAGCTTTAACCAGAGAAAACAGAAGATTCCTGCTGGCGTGGGCAAGGGCAGGGAAGTGTTATGACCGCAGAGAGATTCAGGTTACTTTCAAAAAAGGCAGGATATTGCTTTGTTTTTCATTTGGAAAGGGTCACAGAAGAAATAAATATCTGTGGTTCCTCTTAAGTGAAAATCAAATTACTGAGTGTTATAATTTAGGTCTGAAGTTTCCCCCCAAATCTCATATGCAAGACAATGCAAGAATTTTCAGAGGTGAAATCATTACAGTACAAGAGGCAGAATCCACTGATATGGATTAGTTGAGTGGTATTGCAGGCAGGTAGGGTGTATGCCTGGAGGAGGTGACATGTCCCACTGGGGACATGGCGTGGGGTTTTTCCTTTTGTCCCTAATGAATGGAGGCCCTTAACCCCCTG